TAAGGGCTCAAGTAGAAAGCAAATGTTTTGAGAATGATGAGGGCAACAAATGTGCAAATGTGCTTGACACAGAGGATGTATGTATAGATAAGCATTGTACGAGCCCCAATAACATGATTAAAACAAAAAAGAATATCATACATGAAGAAAGCAGAGTCATGGAAGGTCATTAAAAAGACAGGAAAGAAAAGACCAAAATTGATGTCAGGGGAGACTCAAACATGTTGGTGAATGTAGAAGCATTAAAACAAATGAAAAAATGACGTGAAAGACCTACACAGAACATTTCAAAGGGCAGCTCAAGAAAACAAAGTCAACCATTATAATGAAATTTGCAAAGGCCTGAAGTTAGAAAGCCAAAAAGGAAGAACATGCTCAGGATAGCTTAAGTTGGCAGAAGTGAAGAAAAAAGGTAAGCCTAGAGGTGAACTATGGAGGGATTCCACAAGCAAAATGTGCAGGAAGACTCAAAAGAAGAGGAAATGAGTGCAGAGTCACGGTACCAAAAATAATTGATTGACATTCAACTTTTTCAAGAGGCATCATATGATCATGAATCAATGGCACTGAAGAAAGAAGTCCACGTTTTACAGAAGACATTAGTAGAAAACAATCTTCCAAGAATTGATGGAATACCCATTGAAATGTTTCAGTAAGCTGTTGTAATACTGAAACACTTTTCTACGCCAACAAATTTGGAAGACAAATACCTGGCTCATTTCAAAGTAAAGTGACCCACAAGAATACAGAAATTATTGAAATATCACTGATATCACATGCAAGTAAAATTTTACTGAAGATAATTCAACAGCGGTTACAGCAGTCCAACAACAGAGAGCTGTCAGAAATCCAGCATCTTCAGCAAAGCATGAGGGATATCATTGAGAACGGCAGGTGGACCTTGACTGAGAGCAGAGAATACCAGCAAGATGAGTACTCATCATACATTGACTATGAGAAGGGATTCAATTGTGCAGATCATGAGAAACTTAGATCACACGAGAAGAACTGGAATTCCCGCACACTGTATTGTATTCGTGAGAACCCTGTATATGGACTAAGGACAGTTTGGATGGAGCGTGGGAATACTTCATGGTTTAAAATTGGGAACGGTGTTGCAGGGTTGTGTACTTTCAATATATTTATTCTATCTGTATTCTGAGAAAATAATCAGAGTAGCTCAACTGTAGGAAGAAGTATTCAGCATCAAGGATAGAGGAAGGCTTTTCAAAACCTGTGATGTGCTGATGACTCAAGCTTGCTTGCTGGAAGCAGAGACTTGAAGCACTTGCAGATGAAAATTAAAGACTGCAGCCTTCAGTGTGCATCACAACTCTCTGGAATTAAACCCAAAATCCTCACAATAGGACCAGGAGATAAACACCACATTGTGATAAACAGAGAAAAGATCAAAGTTGTCAAGGAACTCATTTTGCTTGGATCTACAATAAATGCTTATGGAAAGAAACAGCAGTCAGGAAACTGAATAATCTACGACCTTGGGCGAGTCTGCCTCATGACCAGACGTCCGCTTTTGGCAGCACACTCCCGATTTTTAACAATTTGTCCCACGTCTGGCGGCGTTTTAAAAAAGTCTGGAGTTTTGGAAAGAATGCACGACAAGCTAGGGAACGGCGGGTGAACCGGAAGGGAATATACAGTTTTCGGCTG